TGGCTGGTTGGGACATGCAGCATTTAAGCAAAGGACCACACTCGGTTTATATCTGTGCATCCTAAAACTGGTAAGATTGTTAGAAAAAAATAAACAGCACCTTAAGAATTTAGCTTCAAACATACCCTTATAAAGTGCTATTTCTCCTTAAAGTTGGTCAGGGTGACAAAGATGTTAACATCACAGCTTAACACATGGCACACATTCCAAACACAGTTATTTGAAAGGTAATGCTGTCTACTCCAAGTCTCCAGATCAAATGTCTCAAAATTAATTCTTTGTAGTTCCCTAATAGATCTTTATTCCAAGTAAGCTCACTTGCTACTTAGCTCTGATGCAGAATTTATAACACTTTGTAGAGTATGTCATCTGAGCAATTTCAATGTGTTTTAGTGTGAATGATATATAATCTCCTGAAAATTCACCCCTCAAATAAGTCCTAATGGGCTGAGAGAACAGCAGTAGCTTAAGTGGATCTATTAAAAAAGGCTGAGTGGGTCAGTGATGGGGACGGAGATACCATTTTAACTCTCCCTTTAGTTACTGATCAAAACACATTGGCAGTCTAGTTTGACCATGAAAGGGCGTGCACACACACACATAGACACACACATGCACACACAGACACACACACAGACACAGACACACACACAGACACACACATGCACACACAGACACACATGCGTGTGCACACACACGTGCACATGCAGACACACGCACACAGACACACACGCACACACATGCACACATGTGTGCACACACGCACACACACACACAGACATGCACACACAGACACGCACACACACACCTCTATATAATTCACTTGTGGATCAACACTTGCTTTCTTCCATTGATCAGAATCACAGATTTTCCAACAAAGGAAAGGTGCCAGACCATTTTCGTCACCTCCCTTAGAATCAGAGTTGTATGCAGACTGCAGAGCATCTGTAATTCCTCTCATAGGGAAGTTAATTAGTGCAGAGAACAAGGAGACATTTTTCTCTGTCAATAGCCACAGAAAGGAAGACCCCTATGTAATTTTCAAGGTGAAATGTGCTGAGTTAAAGTCACTGTTTTAGGTTTAACTTCAGCAAAGGAATGACCCTTCAGTATTTACCAACTGATTTTTATGAGAGCTCAGAATGATGCCATATTCTAATTTTACTTGGCTCTACCCCTTTAGTTGAGCAATCGTGGGCGATTCATGTATTTTCTCTGGGACTGAGTCTTTTCGGGTGTCAGGTGAAAGGGCTGACTATATTTGGGCTAAATATATTTTCAGATGTAAACATCAGTGAGTTGTGATTTGGAGCTATCCATGATCACAGCATCTGAAAGAAAACAAATTCTAGAGCCTACAGTATTTCCATTTTGAGGGGAAAAAAATTTCACAAAATCAGCTTAAAAATCAAACATTTTTCATCATTTAGAGTAAAGTAAAAAGGACTGAAAAAAGAGAAACAATTTAGAGTGTATAGCAAGCGCGAAACTGCTGAGAGAGCAAGCGGGGTGGGTTGCTGCAGGCCAGTGTACTTTCCGCCATTTCTTTCCAAAGTCTCGGGCTGCAGGCACACAGATGTGCTGATCGCCCTGCATACCCAGCTCAATGGGCCGGTCAGGGTATGGGTGGCATTTCAGATATGCTTTCTAAGCCTTTTGAGAATTCAAATGCACAGAGTTATTTCTATTTTTGCAGAGCTACAATAAACTGGAGGGCCGTCAACCACTGAATGAAAGTGTTCATTGGATAAAAAACATCTTACTTCCAGACCCTTAGATTATATTGTGATTGAACAGGAGTCTGGAAAGGCAGGCTTAAAATTAACAATCACTCACTATTCTAACTCAGCAAGGACCAGGCTGGACTGCATTCCAGCAGAAAGGAATCCTTATATTAAACTCAACATTAAACAAGTCAGCTGAGGAACTTAATAGGCAGGTTTTTTTCTACACCTGTGGTTAAATATTCTAATATTTTGATGTTTGTCAACAGCATCCTTTTGCAGGTATGGCTGCACCTCAATTTTTCCTTCTGTTTATTTCAAAGTTGACATTTTACAAGTTATTTAGGAACTGTTGAACCATGAAACTATTTTTCATTGTCAAAAATGCTGAATGGTGAAATAATGACTAGCTTTCACAGTTTGCCTCTTTATTTTATAATCTAGTTGAGCTACTAAATTTAGTTGTGAACTAACAGACTGTCTCTTCTGGGAAATAAGTTATTTCCCCCACTGCCTACAGGTTTTTGAATGTTTGAATGTAAATATCTGAATATATGAATGATTTAAGAACATAAACATATCACCGTTTGTTGTAATCATGTGCATTTTACTTGAACCACAATGTGGGTTTGGAATAGGTTTGTGAATAGAGCTTGTTTTCATGTAAATGGGATCAAGCGGTACCACTGGTTAGCTATTCAGGGAATCAGACAATGCCACCCTTGCTGGAAATGCTTCAATAAGATTTTAATCCATGTACCTAATATTTGAACTCCGACTCTTGCTTCATATTCCTGTGGCCTAATCCAGATCTCATTGCTGACAATGACCAAAGGATGGTGTGAGACTTAATGTGATCTATTTATGTGTGGCACCTCTTTCTGACACTGAGGATTTCAGGTTTCGTCTTGAAGGTGGTGTCTAAAGACAGCTTTCTTTTCTCTCCTGTGACATTCTTAAAAAAATGTAGCACGGTTTGCCTGCCTGCCTGCCTGCCTGCCCCTAGTAGCAGCATCCATGCAATAACTCTTACAGAGAAACACCACACCAACAGGACGTAAAGAACTCGTGGAATCCTGTGCTTCACTGCTACATGCACAACGTGCATATTAGAAATATTACTGTACTTTCTAAGTTTCTAAGCAACTTACCCATCCCCACGAATATGAAGAGAGACCATTACCAAAGCATTTCTTTTGGAAATACTATCAGCATCGCAGTGAGAGTAGCTTAATGTTTCACATTTACAAATGGGAAATTATAAACAGGCTGACATTCTGGCATTTACAACACCCAGAGGAAAAAAAAAAACAACAATTCATGCATGGAAAAGCCATTTATAAAATGAAGCCTGGTGTATTTAGTTCATTTGAAGCCATAAATTCTCACACAGCTACCAGATATGTATCTATGTGTGTGTGTATACATATAATATTGTATTATGTTATGTGTGTGTAATGTAAGTCTTAAACTGAATATGCATTATGTATACCAGTGGACGTGACCCTGTTGTCGGCTAGGGAAAAAAGACTGTTTTTCAAACATGTTGTGTGGCTATTTTTAACCTGAGAACATTAATCAGAAAAGAGCTTAAATCTTACTTCCTCTGCTTTTCCCTCTGGTACAAATAGGATGACATGGTGATGACATGGTGAGAGTGTCCATAACACAAGGTATGACAAAGCCAGGCTGTTTTGATATTTGTGTAAGGGACAAATTTAACTCTAAATCTCTTGGCCAGACCTGCCTTCCCCATATAATCAGAGCCTATCCGCGTGTGACCCTCTTCTAAAGCTTCAGGAAGACGCTGCCCCTTCCCTCTTGCCGCTGCTCTCTGATCTGACTTTCATGCTTAATCTGATCTAATCCTGCCAGCATTATCTTCATCTGTGCAATGAAACCTGGAGGATTCTTTCTCATATTTGGTGAGGAAAGGCATTTACTAAATTACTTGCTCGAATCATACCGTGAGGTTTTAGCTCCTTATTTTTGATAAGATGATGGCTGCAGCATTGAGGCACATTATCAATGATTAGTCAGAAATCTAGGTTTCTCCCATTTTTGGAACAAGATTTTCTGAAACTGGGTGCAAAAAGACTAAAAGGGCTCTGAAAAACTAGAAACTCTCAGCTAACAATAGAACAAAATATTTATTTTTCATGGAGAAGTATTTTTTTTTCCGAAGAAAAAAAGCAAACCTAATTCCAATGACTTTTGTAGAAAAGTTATCCATTGAAAATCTTAAAATAATAATAATAATAACGAAACCCACTTCCTGATAATTTCATTCAACTCTCCTCTAGGGAAAGTCTTCTCTGAGTTCTGGATCTCATGATTGGCCCTATCAATGTAACAGAAGTTCTTCAGAATCTGAACTTAATGTGTTTTAAAATCTGAAGTGTCCTGATAAACATCATGATAAAACTACAAACAAGATCTTACCCTTAACAGGGAAAATACTTGTGAATTGTCAATGTTTCCCATAAGCTGAAATAATTATTATTCAAATTGCATGAAGAAATACATAAGATTAGTTGAAATAATTATTAAGGTCTGATGCCTATTTATCCTTTTAACTTATGATCAGACTTTCATTAACAAATAACTAGACTGGGCTAAAATAGAGGGCAAAATACCTAATGTAAATTATTTTTAAAATGCAGGCACCTGACAGAGATTGTCATGTTATTATTTGCATAAGAATAAAATGAAATTTTATAATTTTTGTTTTATGTATAATTAAATATTATAATTGAATACACTGAAAACATTAGATAGCAAACATATATTTTAAGAAGAGCTATTTCCCCAAAGATATTCCACAGATATGTTTATTTGCTAGAGAGTATGTGTGTGTACACACACATATATATTCCCTTATATCAATAGTCAGATCTCTCCTAAGAAGTAAGCTAATTGAGCTGTTTGTGTTGATAAACTCCTTTTTCTCCAGACTATTCCTCTCCGAGCCATAATTATTTGCAATTTGCCTAAGTCGTCCATTTACTGATACGTCAAGCATGAAACAGAGGCAATTCCAGAAAATGGAAATGCTTCTCAAAATCAATCTTTGGGAAATAATGTGGTAGAAGTTACTGTGTGATAGAAGACTACCTTATAACTGTCACATGGAGATGAATATTAATTTGTTGAGGTTAAGGTGGCTTTGTGCTTCATTTGTTGACTTTGCTTAGCCGTCAGCAAAGCAGCACAGCCCAATTACTCCAGCAAAGCTATTTTTTTCTAACAGGAGTTTTATGATTTTTATGTACTTACCAGTCAGCACACATAACAATGTCAAAATGTCCTTCCAGTTGAGAGACATCTGTCTCATTATCCCATCGTAAAACGCTTGAGGAGAAAAAGATTTTAAAAATTATACATAGGGTTTTTTTTTTTAACTTTTGATTTTGAGCTATTAACATTATTTTTTGTGGCACTTGAAATTATTTAAAAGGTATATACAGATTATTTCAAAAGGTATGATAAAAAATAGGATGTAACTGTCTTCTGTGTTTTATTTAGTATTCAAGTCTAGAAGAAGAATTCTCTACTTAAATACAATAGTTAACCTTTTTGCTAGTTTTTATAGGTTTTTGTAGACAAACTAGAGAAAAATATGTTATCTTTACCATAGTCATTATAATGATTCTAGACCCTTAACATCAATGAGGTACATATTGAAACCAAAGTATTCTACATTTGACTGGAATACAAATTTATAAAAATAAATGATGTGAGACAGTTTATATCTATACTGCCTGGCATCTCAGTTGCTTTTCGTATTGATGAAATGAGCAATTTGGCAAGATGGAAGAAAAGAAGAGTCAAATTTCATTTGGTAGTTATTGGTTTTTAGGCATAGTGAAAAATTCACCCACACTGACACTTAGTCTTCCAAAGGGGATCAGGATTAAAACTTCACATTAATAACAATAATTAGTAACATGCATTTGAAAACTTTAGTATTTAATGCTTATGAGGCCAACCAGAGGTTTTTAGTTACTCTCAATTAATAACTGTGATGATTAGCATTTTACCATATTCAAGTTTTTTAATGATTCATCTTACTACAGCACCAAAACTGTGATTTACAGTACTATTTTTCAAAGTAAAATTCTGTTCCTATTTTCTATTTTGATTCTTTAGACCTAACCGGAGTGAACATGTCCTACCCTGCCCAGTTATATTTGCTTGTTTTGGTGGATTCATTTCTTCTACATCTTCCCTAGGTGAAAAGTCATGTGTCTGAATATAATAATAAGTCTTATACTAGTTAGCTCAAAAGATCTTTTCATATACAATACATTAATATACATTAATGCCAGTTGATTTCTCAAGGTAGAAAAGATTAAAGACATCACCACAAAAATACCTCCACAGGCTGGGCAGCAGTTGTTCATTGACTTGTCCAACTCGTTCTTACTGAGCCACTCCTCACTGTGTGTCAGGTCCTGTACTGTGCCATAGACCATGCCTTCACAGGGGCAGCCTGATGGGCCATATGGACACATAAACCCCCAATTCCTATGCTGTATCCTATGCATTGGTTGAGTATACAGACTTGGAGCATGGGAGGGCTTTCCAGAAGCTGTGGGTTACCTCAGTGTTCACAGGTCCAGTAATACCCAGATAAGCTTTACAAATTAACTTTAGTGTTGCTGTACTTGCTGAGGCCTACTGGATAGGCAAGAAATGAAGGAAATTAGGAAATCCCTAAGAGATCAATGCTTACTTTGTTTACGCATTTCTCAGAAACTCCATGCACCTGGGGAGAGCCAGAAGCAACCAACACCAACTTCTCTGGAAATGCTGAGGCTCCCAGTGAACCTGGGACTCAGGCTCAGTGAGAGATGGGGCCTGCTCAGCCCTCATCAGAGCCCTGAGTCTTAGAGTCTAAGACTTGAACCATGAGCAAGATGGTTTAAAGTATACATCTATACTAGACGTTCTCAGATCAGAAAAGTAATGTATCCATCTATCACATGAATCTTGAAAAAAAAGATTAAAGTATTAAAATATTCATAATCTTACCATTCCACAAATGTCTCTTTAGAATTTGCTTTCAATACATATGCAATTACTAAAGCACAAGAGCAGACTGCAGGAAATCCTGCGGTGATGGTGGATGTTGTATTTCTGAGGTGCTTCAGCCCCTTGGTTCAACAAAGACAAACTGGAGAGATAGGGATCTAAGCAGCCACTGGGTATGGATTCCCACAGCAGCTGTAACAAGTCATGACTCTAAAATAAATTGAAATGCCCGGCTTGGTCACATGGACCATAACACATTCCCAAAAGGCATTTTTCCCCAGTTCTCATGAGGCTTATGGCTGTGCTATAAGCATGTGACAGAGAGAGAGTGGTATTGTGGACAGAGTTCAGCTTTAGCACAACAGACAGACCGAGGTTCAAATCTTGGCTCCTCCCCTTAGTAGCTGTATGAGTTTGGGCAATTATGTAACCTTTCTGAGCTTGTTTTCTGATCTGTAAAATGGGGATAACACTAGCTCTCTCCTTGAACATTCTAAGAGCACCATTCATACAGTACCTGGAGTTGTATTGTTCACGTAACATATAATGAGAATGGTGCTTCCTGGAGCTGTGCAGTCAGGCAGCCTGCTATCTTGGAAGACTAGAGATGATAGGGAGTTCACTGTTCACTCCTCTCCTCCATGACCTTGTCCTCCACCTTTGGAGATACACTCCCATGCATGCTCGTGAGAGCATGTGCTTCCACTATGGGGAAGGACCAGACTTTGTTTGTATCTAATCTGTTGCAGACCAATGCTTTTGTAAAATATAGTCACAAAGGAATAGACAAATGAGATTAAAAACACAAAGGCATTCCCAATACAAGTCCACTGATCATATGCTTGGATGTCGCAGCAGTGTTTCTAAACATTTATTTTCAATTTCTGAACTTATCTCCTTGCAGATCAGTAACATACAGTTCACAGACTGGCACCAGTTCATGGCCTACTCATTGAGTAGCACTCCTCCAAACCTATCTTTACCAGTTACTGCAACTCTAGCCACTCTCCGACCAAGCCCTCCTATCTTTCACAGCTCATTCTTTCTAGAAGGTACTCTCTAGAAGGTACTCTTTAGTCCCACTGGCCCACACTGATCCTATCACCATGTCACTATCCCACTTCCCTATGTTTATTTTTCTTTCTTGTTCAGCTTAAATTCCATGGCCTATCATTGTAACTACTCCCTTGCATACACCCTCAACTTCCTCATCCCTCTCTTACTTCCTTATATTTGTTAAATCCAGCTCTCTGCCTGGCCCATGACTGCGCCTGTGCACCTGAATGTGGCTAGAGACAGTACACAAGCATCCTCACTGGCTTTGCTTTGAATTCATGACCATGAGCCTCAAGTGGACTCTTAATGACATCTGGCAGTTATACTTACATTTCCTTTGCCCATTTAGCCTCCCACTATCCTAGGTCATTATTTTGCACTTTCTACTCTCTCTTCAAAATTCTGACACTATTCCCCTCCTCCTCACTTTCAGATGATGACCCTGCTTCTTTCTTTACTGTCAAAATTGCAGCAATCAGGCTGGGCACGGTGGCTCATGCCTGTAATCCTAGCACTTTGGGAGGCGGAAGCAGGTGGATTGCTTAAGCCCAGGAGCTTGAGACTAGCCTGGGCAACATGGCGATACCCTCCTCTGCTAAAAATACAAAAAATTACCTGGGTGTGGTGGCGCACACCTGTGGTCTCAGCTACTCCGGAGGCTAAGGTGGGAGGATCATCTGAGCCCAGGAAGTCAAGGCTGCAGTGAGCCGTGATCTAGCTACTGCACTCTAGCCTGGGTGACAAAAATGAGACCCTTTCTCAAAAAAAAAAAAAAAAAAAAAAATGCGGCAATCAGTTAGGAACTTCCATAAACTCCTACCACCACACTTATGTTCCTAATAGCATCTGAACCTGCATACGCTGCCTTCCTGCCTATTACCATAGATGAACTATCTGTACTCCTATCTACAGCCAGTACCTTCTCTTATGCCGCCTAGACCCAGCCCCTTTGATCTATTCTAGGACATGCTCTAGCATTTTCCTTTCTCTTTCCTATATCAGCTCTCTTCTTTCTCTGGATTATTTCCATCAGTATCCAAACATGGAGTTATTTCCCCCCTTGTAAAATATCCTCTCCTGGCAGTTACTGCACCATTTCTCTATTCCTCCTTTGCAACAAAACTCTTTGAGAAAATTGTTTGACACTCTCTTGCCAGTTCCTCTCCTCTCATTCTCTTAAAATTCACTCTGGCCAGGTTTTTGTCCCCACCGTTCCACCAAAAATGCTGCTGTCAAACTCACCAAAGATCCCCACATTGCTAAATTTAGGTCAGTTCTTAGTCTTTATCTTACTTGATCTATCAGCCTGAACCTCTCCCATGAACTCTAGATTCATATATCCAACTTCCTATTTTAATATTTCCACTTAGACATCTACTAGACATCTCAAACTTAACATGTCCAAATTTGAATTCCCAATCATTTTCCCCAAAACTCACTTCATTCAGTCTTTTTAAAATCTCGTTAATGGTAATTCCATCTTTCCAGTTGCTCAGGCCAAAAACCTTGAATATATCCTTGACTCTTCCTTTTATAGTCCACATTTAATACGCCACAAGTGCAGTTCATTCTACCTTTGAAATATATCAAAATCTAACCACTTCTCTCTATCTCTACTGCCCTCCCCAGTCTAAACTACTATCATCTTTCATCTGAATTATTGGATAGGCCCCTAATTGGTCTCCCTGCTTCCATCTGTCACCCAAAAATCTCTGCTCAAGAGACCAGCCAGAGTGATTCTTTTAAAACATGTATCAGATCATGAGCCTTTTCTCTCTTCACTCAGAGCAAAAGCCAAGGTCTTTACAATGACCTGAAAACCCTTATACAATTGGGCCTGGTTACTACTCTGTCCTCATCTCCTATTACTCTCCTCCTTGGTCTCTTTGCTCTAGTAACACTGGCCTCCTTATGCTTTCCTGAATACACTGGCATGGTTCTGTTCTAGGGTCTTAATACTGGCTGCTTGAGCAGCCAAAATGCTCTTTCTCCAGATACTCTAGAGCTACAGCTCATTCTGTCACCTCCTTCAGGTCTTTCTGTATATGTCTTACCTTCTCAGGGAGGCCTCCCCTGACCATCCTCTTTAAAACTGCAATCATTTATTTTCAGTCCAGCACTTCTAAAACCCCCTTATCTTGCTCTTTATTTTTCTATAGCAGCTATTACCCTTTAATGTGCTATATAACTAGATTATTGATTTTGTTTCTTCTCTTTCCCCACTAGAATATATGTGCCACAGGGATATAGATTTTTAAAAT